TTGTACAGACTTTTTTTGTTGTTTGTTTCTTTTTTTTTTTTTTCTTTTTGCTTGCAAGATATTTTTATAATAAAAGTGAAAAGTCCTGTGCTGCTCCCGCACATCAGCGTGTCCCTGTGCTCAGGGAGGCCACCTTGTCACCTGCACTGGGGGTGCAGCATGGGATTGGGGGTCTGTTTTTCCTGCACACAGCCCTGAAATGTGCTGGGGAAGGAGGGAAGAGGAAGGCAGGAGGCTGAATCTGGCATGGGGGCTCTGGTGCTTGTGCTCCCCCCAGGCAGCGTGAGGGAGGGCAGTAGCGGACATGGGCAAGGACTGATCAGGTCTGGCCCTGCTGCATCTTTGGGTGCCCCCTGTTCCCTGGGAGCTGAGCTGGGGTGCAGGCAGGGCTGGGTGCTGGCTGCAGCCTGTGCTCTGCAGTGACCTCCTCCCTTTCCCACGCTGGAGCTGGAGGCCTGGCCATGCCTGGGACACGAGATGTGTCTCCCTGGAGCCAGGCACTGTAGTGTGAGGTTATGAAGAAGTTCAAAAGGGAAATTGCTGCCCAGACTCGGCTTTCTCAGTACCGAGGTGCTGCTGGTGGGATCACACGTGAGCAGTAAAGGGACAGTGTGTCCACTCTCCTTGGCATGACTACCCTTTCCCAGCTGGAGCAGCAGCTGTGATTCCCAAGGGAGCCTCCCTTGGGTGCTGCTGCAGGAGGTACCCTGCCAGCACCCTGTATGCCCCTACACCATGCTGAGCATGCCTGCCCTTCCCCTGCTCAGCTGGGGTGGCCCTGTCACCCCCAGGACATGGCTCCAAGGGGGCATGGGGTCCCACATTCCCTTTGGCACCCATGGCACAGGAAGGGGCCACTGTGTGCTGCCTGCAGGTCTCACAGGTGGCACCACTGACACCCAGCCATGGGGTGTGTGGTCCCTTCATGCCGAGGCCTTGCGCTGCCCCGTGGAGGACGCTCAGCACCCAGCATGGCTTCAGCTTCGTTGGCATCTGCCTTTTATTGACTGCAGGGGGAGTTGGGTGTCGGGGCGTGGGGCTGGCCCTGCCTCCGGGGTTGTTCTTGGAGGGGGAGCCCAGGGGCACCAGGGGGGTGTTGGGATGGGTGGGACATGGTGAGCAGCTCGGGGAGGGGAGTCAGGGTTGGTTCAGCACCGCTTGGCCACCCGGTGACAGTGCTGTGGTGACACCAGCCACCGCTGCCCATGGCCATGGGAGCTACCTCCCTGACCCTTCCTGATGCTCAGAGGGCACTGCCTGGTACATGAGCCGCGATGGTTTCCAGACCCTGCTGCTACACTTCAGCAGCCACAGGAGAATGGCAGATACGTTTCCAGCAGTTTGCTGCCAGGAGCCCTGGCCCTGGACCACGGCCACACTGCCATTAACCAGAGGGGTGGCACCGTCCCCTCTGGTACACGGAGTCCCTAAGGGATGGGCAGGTGAACCAGAGAGGGACAACTGGGGATGGGACCCCTGGTTCCCTGGGGGAATGAGGCAGGGATGACGCCAGCCACGCCGGGCTGGGCAGGGGACGGGGCTGGGGGCTGGATGGAGCAGTCGGGGCTGGCAGCGTGGGGACCGTGCTGCTGTCATCCCACGCCTGGCTCTACAGGTCCAAGACCTCCCCTGAGTAGGCGCTGGGGTCCTCGTCGGAGCGCGTGATCACCTTGAACTGCCGCCGCAGGAAGCCCCCGTAGCGCTTCTGATTGTCCCACTTGAGCTTGGGCCGGATGCGGCGCATGAAGCCTCCGTAGCGCTTGTGCAGCTGCGCCAGCTCCTGCCCCTCGGGCCCGGCACCCGTGGGCTCCTCGCCCCCCTCGCCTGCTGGCCCCAGCCCCGGGTAGTCCTCAGGGGCCGCCCGCTCCCCCGGCTTGTGGCCGAAGCCCCCGAACTTCTTGGCGAGGCCGCCCTTGCTGTGGGCGTTCTCGCGGAGCAGCGACAGCAGCTTCCCCTTGGACATCTTCTTCATGAAGCCCCCGTAGCGCTTG